TTCCTATCCAATGACACCCCTCCAAACAACAGAACATCTGTCCTCAGCGGCTCCTGGCACCTGCCACCAGGCCAGGGAGACTCTTCCTTCACCGAGTGGAAGGGCCCTAGGCTGAGTGGAGGGTTACCAGGACGCCATGACAGGCTGTCCAGGTTGCTTTTCCTTCCATCCTTCTCCACGTGGCTCCCAACAGGACTGTTTGACCTGAGAAAGGAAAGTGCCTGAATAACCCAGTTAGACGGGAGCAAGAGCCAGTTCTCTGTCTGTAAACACCTTTCCTGCCCTTTCTGGGGCGCCCTCAAGCTAGGCTGCACCTGCTTCTTGGCAGGGTGTAGTCTAAATTTAGGATAAGGGTTGTTTCTCTAAACACTAGCGCCAGTGTGTCGCCCTCGGTACCAGAAAGGAGGAAGGCTTGAAAAACCTGCTCTTCCGTTGGTCAGTCCGGCCTTGTGGGGAAACTCCCTGGAGAACGAAGGGTGGGGCTGGGAGTGAAATTTCCAGGGAGAGGGGCCCTATTCCACCACCGCATCTCTCTCTCTCTCTCTCTCTCTCTCTCTCTCTCTCTCTCTCTCTCTCTCTTTCTCGCTCTCTCATCCTTGTTGTACTGGCTGGCTTGGAACTTGCTATGTAGAGGTCAGACAGGCCTCAGACTCAGAGATCTTCACCTCTCAAGTGCTGGGATTAAAAGGGTGTAGAGCCACGCTTGCCTCTTGCTTTTCGAGACAGGATCAAAGCGGCTCATACTGGTCTTGAACTTGCTATTTAACCAAGGAGGGTCCTGAACTCCTGATTCTTCTGCCTCTACTGCGCAGTTGTTGAGCTCACAAAGGAAAGCCGCCACGCCCCATGAACCTGTCCATCCCCTGACAATAAACACGCAGTTTACCAGACACCCACATTTATTTCTCAAGATGGACCGAGATGAGCAGAGGTTTGGATGAATCAACCCCATGCAGCGAGGTTAGCGGGTCCTTTGGGATCACTCACTGGAGACAACACAGTAGCACTTCGGGAGCTCATCCCAGGGTCACACCGGTGTGCATCCAGGTAGGGGGCCCTTTCAGTGGCCCATGAAGGAGACAGAGGGGTCTCCAAGGAAATGGGGAAGGACTTGGTATAAAACGGAGGATGCCAGCTGAGAAGGGCGGCTGGAAAGACCACTCTAGGCACGGTCCCATGGAATAAATGGGACAATAGGGGAATGATCTTCAGAAGAAAGGAGCCAGGGGTCGGGAGAACATTCTGGAGAGCTGGAGTTCTAAGGGCACGGGGAGAAAGACTCAGCTGAGAGATGGGAAGCGAGCAGCCGTGGAGTGACTCTCAGTGCAATAGCCAGAGGCCAAGGCCGGCCACAGAGGCGAGGGTGACCAGGGCCAGCGCAGGTGTGGGCCTCGGAGCCGGGCTGTTGCAGTTGTCCTGGTCACAGCAGGTAGTGTTGTAGTTCAGGCCCAGCTTGTGGTTGGTTTGGTTGAAAGCCTCTCGACAGGGCTCCTCCGGTGTGCCGCAGCGCAGGTTAGAGAAAACCCACATCTTTCCTACAGGTGGGAGCCAACAGAGGCAGCGTCAGAAGTAGGCACTGGCTTGCCTGTGTCCACGGGCTCCTCTTCCTCCCAAAGCTGCTCCGCTCCACCCTTTTCTCTCTTCATTCTACTCATCCCGAGTGTGAGCCACAACCCTGCCTCCAGCACCAGCACCCATGTCATGGGGCTGGCACAAGCATTCACAAACACAGTGTAGACACAGGTCACAAGCGGTCACAAACGCAGTGTCTGTAGACACAGGTCACAAGCGTTCACAAACGCAGTGTCTGTAGACACAGGTCACAAGCGTTCACAAACGCAGTGTCTGTAGACACAGGTCACAAGCGTTCACAAACACAGTGTCTGTAGACACAGGTCACAGGCGTTCACAAACAGTGTAGACACAGGTCACAGGCGTTCACAAACAGTGTAGACACAGGTCATAGGCGTTCACAAACACAGTGTCTGTAGACACAGGTCACAGGCGTTCACAAACACAGTGTCTGTAGACACAGGTCACAGGCGGTCACAAACACAGTGTAGACACAGGTCACAGGCGTTCACAAACACAGTGTAGACACAGGTCACAAGCGTTCACAAACGCAGTGTCTGTAGACACAGGTCACAAGCGTTCACAAACACAGTGTCTGTAGACACAGGTCACAGGCGTTCACAAACACAGTGTCTGTAGACACAGGTCACAGGCGTTCACAAACACAGTGTAGACACAGGTCACAAGCGTTCACAAACACAGTGTCTGTAGACACAGGTCACAAGCGTTCACAAACACAGTGTCTGTAGACACAGGTCACAGGCGTTCACAAACACAGTGTCTGTAGACACAGGTCACAGGCGTTCACAAACGCAGTGTCTGTAGACACAGGTCACAGGCGTTCACAAACGCAGTGTCTGTAGACACAGGTCACAGGCGTTCACAAACGCAGTGTCTGTAGACACAGGTCACAGGCGTTCACAAACGCAGTGTAGACACAGGTCACAAGCGTTCACAAACGCAGTGTCTGTAGACACAGGTCAGCGCCTGGCACACACACTCTTCCTTAGCCACATGCTGTCCCTGCTATAAACCCCCCGTCCTAGCCCTGCATGGGCTTCAGTCCCAGCTCATATCTCCTACTTGGTCCCTCCCTCCCAGGAAAGGGGACATTACCAAGGTACACATTTGTCGTCAGGCATTTTTGGCCTGGCTCCAGACGGCAGGACTGGCGATCCACACAGCCCAGCACGGGGACCTTGTAGCAGGAGTGACATCTAGTGTCAGCTGGAGAGATAAGAAGTCAGGCTGAGGTGCTGGGCTGTCTCAGCCACCTCACCTGGGGATGAGTTAGGGGTGAGGGTGGAGGACTGCCCGCTGAGCAGCCGGTGTCTCTGACCTGCATTGTTCACAGGGACAGAGCAGGTGAGCGCCAAGTGGGCGTTGTGCGGAGGCGTTTGTTCTGTGTGGAAACCACACACCCTAAATACCTTCCTCCACCCAGCCTGTTTGGGATGAGTCAAGAATTGTACTAACAAAAACTTGGGACTGGGGATGCCTGGGATACGGGGAAAGTTTGGCAACTGAGAAGAGGTTAGGGGATGGGACTTGAGATAGAAGAAATCACAAGGGGTGGGAGTCAGCAGTGCCCTCAGAGATGGCATGGAACCGAGGCTGTAAGAAAGCCACCTGTGACCAGCTTTAGATTGGCTGGACCTCTGCCAAGAGCTTGGGGTGCATCAGTCCTGAAGGAATCCTGTCTACGACTGTTCTGGCTGTCATCCTACGGAAGGAGGGATGGTATCTGCGAGGCGTATCACTGGGTTGTCATCTCCTGACAAAGATGGAGAGTGGGGGCAGAGGGTGGCATGTCAAGGTTCCTGTGTTGGCCAACTTCAGGATTGAGCACACAAAGTTCCATGAAGGAATGGTCAGCTCGGCTGGAGGAGCCTAGTGTGCCTCCAGCAAACCCAGCTCACTTTAGGGGTAAGTGTTCTGGCATCTTCTCTCTAGAAAGCTCAGGGAGTGTTTCTGATTCTTGAGAAGGCTGTATGCAGTCACTGGAACCACCCAGAAGGCTTTGCATCCCTGGTGGGGACGCAGGAATGTAAGGCAGGAAGGAACAAGCGAAGAGGAGCCATTGTTGCACACCTCAGTGAGGAGTGAGTGGGGTGGGATCCTGGGGTTTCTATAAGAACACCGCTCAGTGCAGAAGGGGAGTGAAGGCTGGTATCCTGGATCCTGGGGATCTACGTGCTGGAATAGGGCTGGCCAGAGAGCGTGTCCAGGAAGGGGGCACACTGGAGTAGGAAATAAGAGACCCAGTGCCATGGCAGGTAGGAAGAGTGAACCAGGAGAATATGGGGCTAGGAGAAGATGGCAATGAAGATCTGGCTCCTTCATAACAGATCAAGAGCCAGCTGTGACGTTTGTGTGAACCCAGCATTGATTTAGGAGGTAGAGACGGGAAGATCAGAGCTTCAAAGCCAGCTTTGGCTACAATGTTAGGGTCCGAGAATAACCCACCACAAAGACAGGGTTCCAGCAAGCCAAAAGTTGAAAAACAAAAACAAAACAAAACCCTGATACATCAGAGAAGCTCCAGGTTTCAAGATCCAGACCAGGCCGCAACCCTGAGAGCCGGGAGCAGCAGTCAGTTTCAAAGGGAAAAAAGCACCAAGACAGTCCCATCCAATCACAATGTAACGGGGGGGGGGGGGGGGGGGGGGGGGGGGGGGGGGGGGGGGGGGGGCGGGGGGGGGGGGGGGGGGGGGTGGGTGGGGGGACGGGGAGAAGCAGTTGGGGGACTTTCCACAGTGGGATGGTTTTCAGCCTATTAGCCTGTTAGGGAGTTCTGAGGGCTGGTGGCTGGCTCTGGGTCCACCAGTCAGAAGGAAGTGGTGTGGTCTTATTCTAGACATCTGCGTAAGGGGGCTGGGGGTTGCAGCTCAGTCTCAGGAAATTGTGGGTAGCAGCCAAGGGCAGAGTGGCAGACTAGGAACAAATGGAGTTCCTACTGCTAAGTGGGATCTAACAACACATGACTCTGACAAAAGAGAAACAAGTAAAGAAATGGAGGGAAAGGAGGAAAGAAAGGAAAAGCAAAGAGAGCAAGGAGCCCATCCTACTCAGACATCTGGTCCTAGAGGTGCTGGGAAGACTAAGCCAGGTAGGGTTGGGGTGGGGCCCGGGGCCCCTGGCACTCACCTGAGACCCAGCAGCAGAACAGGGCAGACAGGGTGACCAGCAGCAGGTGTTTCATGGTGAGGGTGCTGAGAATGTCCACAGCCCCAGAAGCTGTCAGTGGATTCTCGGGGATCCAGTTCTGAGAGTTGAGCAGCCTTTTCGGAATTTATAATCCCAAAGGCCCCTCCCTTCCAGGCCTCTGCCCTCTGTGGTACCTCCTTCTCTGTTTGTACCCAGCTGGCCAGAAAGAAAGACCAGAGGTGGGGAGGGTCCACGCAAGCCTGGGTAGGGAGGGGTGATGAAGAAGGGGGATGGGAGAGAGGACAGGTGTCACTAGTGGCCAACTCCATTTTGGATTTTGGTTTTAGGACCACCCACGGAGGGCCCCACTGCTCTGAAGGAGCATCAGAAAAGCCTCTGTGACTTAAACAGCCTCAGTGCCAGCTCCTGCCAGTTCCTAGGAAGTGGGCAGTGGGTTGTCGCCTGAGCTGATCGTCAACTTGGGTCCCTGGGGGTGGGGGGCATTGATCAGGAACATGCAAGTGGAAATTGATGAAACGGACTGGATTTATGTAGATTCATTCCCCATCCCGCTTCCAACTGATGCTCAGCCCCGGGATAAAGGCTTGTGACATCATGGAGGATTTCTGTGACGTCATAGAAGCAAGAGGGGCTGAGGCTGTGGATCCTGAAGGACCACAGGAATATGCTAAGAATGCTCTCACACCCTGGGTTTGGGAGGAGCACATTGGGAGGGAGGAACACTGTGGGCACTCAGAGGTGAGATAGCAGCTAAGATAAGAGCAGATGTAATAATAATGTCATGCCCTGAGCATCCCGTGTGTCATCTGTTGTTTCGGGCGTCCTCGATGTATTTATTTGGTTCTTGCATGCTTTTATCTCCATTTTCCTGATGAGGTGACCTGTTCACATCACCCAGCTGCTGTGTGGCAAAATCAGGATTTGAACTCAGGAAGCTGAGCCTCAGACTTGGGGGTCATGCTAGTTTAAAAAAAAAAAAAAGCGTAAAGCGTATGCAAAAGGTCCCGAGCACAAATTTTAAAGAGTTTTGAAAAATTTAAGACTGCTAGTTGGTTTGTGAGAATTCCTCAAGGGATCCAGGAATTGGCGGCCTCCTGCTCGCTCTTATCTGAGCCCCTTGCTCGCAGTAGCCCTATCCCTGCCCCTCTGCTTCCCTCTCCGGTCTCCCTGCTGATTCACTCCAGCCTCTGCCTACCACATCCTAGCCATGGCCCTGGTTCTTCAGCTGCTGCCTCTGTTGCTCTCAAAGGTCCAGGGGGACCCCGAGGGTAGGCCATCCCTGGGGAGCTGTGATGGGCCGGGAAAGACTGAGACAGGCTAGGGTTGCCTGTGGAGGGGGCTGTGTATAAGATCCAGAATGGTAGAAGGGCAGAAAGAAGGTGTGGGGTGGGGGGAGGGGAAGGGGAGAAAGACAGAGGCAGAGGCAGATCTAGCCTAGTAAACTAGCCCTAACTACCCACTTCCCTCACCCTTCCTAGTTTCTCTAGAGGGCAGCCCTGGGGACCGGGTGAATCTCTCCTGCATAGGGGTCTCAGATCCCACCCGCTGGGCTTGGGCGCCTAGTTTCCCTGCGTGCAAGGGCCTGTCCAAAGGGCGCCGTCCGATCCTGTGGGCCTCGTCCCCAAATGTGTACGCACACTTCTCTGGCCGCCTGCGGTCCCTGGACACTGGTATCAAGCGGCTGGAGCTCCTGCTGAGCGCCGGGGATTCTGGCACCTTTTTCTGCAAAGGGCGCCAAGAGAATGAGAGCCGCACGGTGCTTCAAGTGTTGGGGGACAAAGCAGACTGCAAGATTTCAGAATCTACCAACGGTAGGTCGAGGACCAGATGCCGAGGGGCACTTAGTTTGGACACACAGCCTGCACCAAATGTGTATGTGTGGGGGGTAGTCTTGTAGAGCGGGAGAGCTAGCAGGACCCCGTGGTCGTACCCCTGACCTCGGCATCCCTCCCTGCCTCGCGCATCTCCCCAGGTTCCGGGTATCCCAAGGTCCTGATTGCTCTGCTGGGCGTTGGGCTGGTGCTGGGACTGGGTGCCTCGGGCTTGGTCTGGTGGCGGCGCAGGTGAGCACTGGAGGCGGAGCCTGGCTTAATATAGGGTGTGACCAGTCAGGGCGGAGGTGGGGGGGGGACAGTAAGAGGTGGGAGAGAACCCTAACCTAAGCAAAGAACAAGAAGTATCGGGAGGCTTGGCGGTGGTTTGAAGAAAGCGAGAGGCTCAGCCCTTGGGTGCTAGGTTACAGGCTGGAGTAGACGGCCCAGTCTACGGGAACCAAACTAGAAGGGCCGAAAGCCCAGCGAGTGGGCGGGACCAGGTTCCGGAGGAGCCCAAGTTGTTTTGCTGGTCGGAGACTGCAGTTTGTAGAGTTCCCATTGGCGCCGCCTGCGGCCAGGGAACCAGTAGGGCGAGACTGGTGACTCTCCAAGGACTTCCTTACAGGCACTCGTCCCCGCCCCCGCCCTTGCCTCGACCATTCCCCACATTTGGTGAGATTAACTGCACCCCATTTCCCCCCTCCTACCCGAACAATCCCTAACCCTGAATTCTTGAGTCTGAGTCCTTGCCGGGAGCAGACAAAGTTGGTCATTTTCTCTTCACCCGTCAACTCTGTCCCTCCCTCCCACTCAGCTCCGGTCACAAATGCTGAGCCGCAGCGACCTTTAGAGCAGGAGTCCAAGATCTCAGGTCCTGTGGACCAGGAGCCGGTAAGGGCCTGGGGATAGGAATGCGGCAGGCCAGAATCCCGAAGGAAAGGGGGTCAAAAAAGAAGCCTAGCTAGGTTGCAGTTGCAGAGCCATGGAATCCCAGGACTCTGGAGGTTTAAGCAGGAGGTTAGAGCCCAGACTTGCTACACAGTCTCCGCTGCACACGGGGGCGGAGGGTTGATTCCAAACTAAGGGGTCAGATTGCAGAGACCATCTGCCTTCCTCCTCTACTACCTCCTTCAGAGTCTGCACTATGCTGATCTGGACCACTCCGCCCTCGGGAGGCACCGCCGGACGTCCACAGTGGTTCCTGGTGATGCCGCCACTGTTTATGCGGTGGTCGTTTAAAAGGAGGCCCTTGTTTGCCACGCCCTCCAATCCGGGGCTTCCCTTCTCCACACAACCTCCTCAGCTGGAGGGGGAGGCACCATGGACAGAGGCACTCGGCTGCGTCTGGAAACCTGCGGTGTGGGTCTCCCAGATATTTGGCTTTTTCAGCCACTCCCATCTCTCCTATAACGTCTTTCCTTCATCTAAAGATGAACAAGCTGTCTGTCTAGGTTTTAACTCCCAAATAGATATCCTCTCTGCTCCCTCTCCTTTTTCAAACAAGCATTTTGAACTTCAGGCATACATCCGGCCTCATTTCCCTGCTTCACTCCATCCCTGTGCTTACGGGCTGCAGCTGCAGCTGCTGTCTGTGAGGCTGCCAGGGATGTCCTAGCCAGCATGACAGCGTTCACAGACGTGGCCTTAGATCACCCCTCTCTAAACCCTGGTTTACTTTGTTGCCACAGTCTCTCTTCTAGACATCCTGCTACTCTGTTTGCCTCTCTCTTTTCTCCTCCGTGCTCCTCTTGTAGGAAGCTAGCCAACCCTCAGCCCCCTTCCCTCCAGCCCATACCACAGCCCTAGTGCACCCTGTCCAGCTGGCCTCAGGCATTTTACTGAAGGCCTATCAAACCTGACTCAGCCATTTCCCAAGCTATCCCCTGGGCCCTCCTCTGCATTCTTGTGACCAACCCAAGTTGCCCAAGCCAGAAACTGGGAGTCAGGGCACACCAGCTCCTCTCCCACACAGGGACAGCTAGCTCCCCCATCTTTCCTTTCAAGATTGGCTCTCCTGTAGCAGAGGCTGGCTTTGAACTCCTGATCCCCTTGCGTCCACCTTCAGTGCTGGAGTTGCAGTGACAACAGTGCTGGAGTTACAGTGACAACAGGCGTGCACCACCACGGCAGGCCTTGCGTCTGTCACTGTCTCCATGTCTAGTGCCGTCACTAGAGTGCACGTTCGTCATTGCCACGTGGGTGTCCCCCAGTCCCGTCTCATCCTCCTGCCCTCCCGAGTGGCCACCGCTGCTCCACTCCTGAGGCTTCGGGTCCAGATGCTGCGGCACTTTGTGTACCAGGCTTATCTGTCATTTCCTGTGCACACGTGCCCACCTTAGATTCTCCACAATTTTTTCCCTACAATATTCATTGGCCCGGTGAAGTAAATTCCATCTTCTGGATTCCTTTTCCCTCACTGGGATAATTATTTATCCTCGGGATTTCACTCAAATGTAGCCTTTTCTAGGATTCCAATCCTCATCCCAAATGCTCACCTACTCCTGCACAAAATTTGAGGATCTAGAAACCCCGATTTTCCTCATCCGAACCGACTCCCAAAAATCATCCCAGCATAACTTATTTGCCAAATAATAAGAAATTATCGGGAACTATGAGTTTCCGGACACCAGGAGATGAACCCTTTCGAATCCCCATGAAAGCCACAGTCCATGAACAAATGTGTGTCTGGAAAACACTGTTCTTCATCAAACAAAGGAGGACAGGTAATCCACCAGCGTCTGAATCACCGGACATTTAGGTGAAGTCAGAAAACGACCCACCCATGCGTGGAATCCCTTTTTCTGCCCTGGGTATACTCCCCACAACAATCTCTTGTCCCTTTTTGTACCTGAGCTCCGTGGCAGGGCCAGGAGTGAGCCAGGGGCACACAAGGAGGAGGGTTTTTATAAAAGAGTCTTCCTCCCCAGCACTGACCCCAGCTTCAGGTTTCGGCCCCACCCCATCCCTTTGTCCCAGTGAGACACCAGCCACAACCCTACCTAAAAGGCCAATTTTCTTTTATTGGTTCTGACAGAGAGGACTCACCCAATGGCTCCTATTCTTTGTTTCACACTAAGCCCTCCCTTGTCCTGCGGCCTCTCCCCACCACTACATACGGCCCATCCTCTATTACCTGATTCTACCCCCTATACGGCTCTATTCCTGGCCAGTTGGAGCCCCACGCCCAGGCCCTCAGCAGTGGGGGCGTGTGCTGAGCACCAGACAGAGGGAACTGAGTCCAGCGCCGGCCTTCTCCAGTTCTGAGCAGGATACTGGTACCAGAGTGACGTCAGAGAGCTTCTGCAGAGCCTGTGGGGAGGACACCGCAGGTGTTTTGATACCAGAGCCAGGCTGCCCTCTGGCCAGTTCTACTGACCCCACCCAGGCTTCTGCAGAAAGGCTCCCTGCATTCCTCCACCGGGGAAGACAGGCTTCTTTCTCTGGTTGGTGGAGTTTTCCCCTCCCTCACCTCCTGGCTGTTGGGCAGGTCCCCACCTCCTCGGTGCAGGAGGAAAGGAGTGGTACCAGGTAACCCAGGACGGAGAAATAGACAGTCAGCAGCTGCGTCATCGGGGAGGGTCAGAGAGGCGTAGGGGTGGTCAGTCAGCACTGCCATTGCCTGGAGAGAGGAAGAGAAGAGGGTGCTGAGCTCCCCACAGCTCAGTCAGCCTGACCGAACATAGAGGCTTGGGACAAGGGTTAGACTTGTGAGATAAAGATTTCAAGTATATAACACGGGCTGAGTCAGACACTGTCGGTTTCAAAGTCTCAGGCACTTTAGCTACCATTTACTTTTGCAGTTACTCCCCAACTCTTTCGTACCCCTGTTTACTAGGGTGTCCTTTTGTGTTTGACAAACATCTTAGTGAGGACAAGGGCTGAGAGCAATTCCAAGAGCTAGCCAGATTCCCTGCCGCCCCTGCTCTGAGTCACGCCCACATTGTTGGCCACGCCTTCGCCACCAGACCAGCCCCGCCTCACCCTGACAGCCTTTTGGGCGGCCTCGCTGCTTCCAGCCACGACTGTGCGGGGTCCCCCCATGCCGCAGAGGCCGCGCAGGTGAGAGGCTCCGGACACCGGCACGGTAGAAACAGCGAAGTCCTAGAGAGAGCAGAAGGATGTAGGGGTGCGTAAGGAGCCCAGATCGAGCCCTCTGGCTCACTGGCAGCGCTCCCTCCCCAAGCGCTCTGGTTCCTCACCCGGAACGTGTCTGCCACGATCTCAGCTCCTCGGTGATTGGTCCACTTGGAGAGCCCTACGAAAAACTCCCGGCCTGAATCCGGGAGGTCACGGAGGTTTGAAGGCCAGAGTGAGTTTGGAATCAAGACCTGAGATCACCTAATCTACCAAACTCTGCTTCCTTGTGCCAAGTCCCCAGGGGCGCTGACCATCTGTAGCCTCACCTGTGAAGAGGACGTCGGTGCCATCCAGCGTCGCGTTCTCGTCCCCCATCTCCACAATTCTGAGCCCCAAGTCCTGGAGGGCTTGGCGGACTCCATCAACCTTGGAGAAGAGAGCGCCGGCTGAGCCGTTCTCTTCCTATTTCCTGCCAATCCCAGACATCCAGCCTCCTCCCCACGACCGCCACCCCCACCCCGCGCGCGTGTAATTCTGTCCTCCAACACACCCGCACCCTGCCGCTCACCTCAGGCCTACGCGCTGGGCTCCAGGGCCGTGTGATTAGGGCCGTGTCTCCTTGGATGACGGCCGTGTCACCAAGCAGTGGTCCCAGGGGCAGTGATTCCTCGGGAGGCAGTTCAAGCAGCTGCAGCCCTAGTCGTTGCCTCAGTTTACCTCCTAGTACTCCATGCTCCCTTTGAGCTTTAGCCAGGTCCAGAGCCGGAAGACCAGCCCCCGCGCCCTCCCCGGATGCCAGGCTCTCAGGGACACCCCGGATCAGGGCATGGGAACAGCGACCCAGCCCCTCCACCGGCGTCCCCATCCCATCCACACAGATGCCCCTTCCAGCCAAGCTGATTCCTGTTTTCTCTTTACTTCACTTGTCTGGGAGAAGAGACAGAAAGGGGGAGGGTAGCAGAGAAAGACGTGCAAAGAAGAGAAGGGGGGGGGAGTGTTAAAAGCTCCTGGGTCTTCCTCCGGCCATCTCCAGGCGCCCCTCCCACTCTGCCCCACCCCCTCCAGACCTCCTTGCCCAGTGGACCCCGCTCAGCCTCCTTTCAGCAGAGATCTGCTTTAAGAGGCGCCCAGAGAACAAGACTTGGATCCTTAATCTCCCAAACACCTGTTGCCCCTGCTCGGGGGCTCCGCTAGGTCCCTGCCCCGCGCCCCTCCTGGCAGCCGCTAGGATGCGCTCACTCCCCAAAAATGCGGCGACCCCGCCCCCTTAACCCTCAGCTGCTCGCAGCAGGAGGGACCCGAAGTCCTGCCGGGGACCCTCAGAGGTTATGGGACTGGAAAAGGAAGCTGGGTATTGAGTCGGGGCCTGGGATGTGGAAGTCCTGAATGCTCGAAGGAGAAAGGAGGAGAGGGGCCACTCGGAGAAATTGACTCTAAGGAGTTAAGCATCCTCCCTCTCCACCCTGGCTGGTCACGTTGCCCTTAGAGAGACCCAGTACACACCAGACTTAGTCCCGGAGGACTGGGAGAGGTCTTAAACAAAATCCGGAGGGCGGGGAAACGGGGGGCGTGGAACTACTCCTGGCTTCCGAACTCGGTACCCCTGTCCATCTTCCACCAAAGTCTACCCCGCCCAGCTCCTCGTTCAAGTGCAGGCTATTCGCACACTCCGTCCGGTGCAGGCACCGACCCAGCACCCCCAAACTCCAGCCTCTCCGTACCGTTCGGGGACAGCCCCCTCTCCAGACTCACCAGCGGCCACTTCAACTCACGCAGCGCTGTGATTTCGGCCTTGGCCCCACCCCCAGAGGAGAGAGTTGATGAAGATGGGAGCCCGAGTCTTCAATCGGGGGAGACTGGGAGCTTGGGCTTTTGAGGGGTTCCCTGGGTAGGCGAGCTCACAGACGGCGATGGGGCGGGGGCGCAATGGTCTGGCGGCTCCGGGGCATTGTCTAAGCGGGACGGGGAGGGACCTCCCAAGACCACGCCCATTCCGCCCTGCTAGGCCGCGCCCATTCTTCCAGGACTGAGAGCCCACCCCCCACCCCGAACTCAGGCACCGCCCCAAGAGCGCTGCCCAGGCCCACTCAGATGCGGCTGGCCCTGGCTGCGGGGGCAGCAAACAAGACATGGACCACAGAACAGCCCTCTAATGGACGGACGCAGAACATGGTAGCCCCTGCACAAACACTCCCCTCCTTAATTCCTGGTAAATGCCCCGAGCTTAAATAAGATCATTATGACCCTTCCCCTCTACACTTTAAGTCCTCTTTGTGTAAAAAACAACGCTAGATTTTCGTTCTGTATTTTATTACCGAAATACATTGTCTTACCTCCCACCCCCACCCCACAATAAAAATCTTACCCTTGTCGCCTATGCTCCCCCCCCTTCTCCCTCAGCCCCTCACGAGTGCCCCGGATTTCCTGACACTGGCTCTTCTGGAGTGTCCACCGGGCAGCCTCCCAGAGCCTCTATGGAGAGCACAGAAGTGGGCGAGGGAGCCTTAAAAAGCTGCTCATTTCAGAGCCTTGGCCACTTGCTCATAGGCCAGCTCTATCTCCTCGTCGTCTGGACAGGTGGAGGCGAATTCTTCCCGAGCGTAAGCATTGGTCAAGTACCGATGAACTCCACGGAATGCCTCTGGGATGGTGAAGCCTCGGTACTTTTTACACACCACCTGGGGGTTAGAGAGAAGTCGGTGTGTTAGCCCCAGGGAAGACGCGCTTGCTTTGCTCTGGAGCTGTTGGTCTTTCTCTTCCTCCAGGGTCTTCCAGACCATCTGGCTTCAGTTCTTAACCAGTGAATTTTTTGTTGCTGTTGCTTTGAGGCAGGTTCTCTCTATGTAACCCAGGCTGGCCCGATCTCCACAGCCTTCCTCCTCAGCCTGAGAGCTGGGAGCACAGGTACGCACCCCTGTGGCCAGAGTCTTTAAATCTTTTAAATTTATTTTCATTTTATGTGGATGAGTGTTTTGCCTATATGTATGGCGGTGCAACATGTGTGTGCAGTGTCTGTAAAGGCTAGAGGAGGTGTCAGATCCTCTGCAATGCATTACAGACGGTTGTTAGCTGTGTGGGTGCTGAGAACTGAACCCGATCCCGAGGAAGAGTGGCCAGTGCTCTTAACCCCTGAGCCATCACTCCAGCCACATTAGATCCTCTCACTGATTCTTCCTTCCCTCCTTCCTTCCTTTCTTCCTTCCTTCCTTCCTTCCTTTTTTCCTTTCTTTTTTCTGAAGACAGAAATCTGTGTAGCCCTGATTGTCCTGGAACTCACTCTTTAGACCAGGCTGGCCTCGAGATCTGCTTGCCTCTGCCTCCCAAGTGCTGGGATCAAAGGTGAGTGCCACCATCGCCCGGCTTCTTGTCTAACCTGACATTTGAAATCTCCAAGATGGCCAGCTCAACTTTTCATTTTCTCGAACCCAATTATTAATAGCCAGCTCCTTACCAGACCAACCTATTCTGTGGTTTAACTCTTCTCCTCTTGATTAAAAAAGAAGAGAAGCCAGACGTGGTGGTGCATGCCTTTGATCCCAGCACTGGGAGGCAGAGGCAGGAGGATCTCTGCTTTTTAGGCCAGCCTGGTCAATATAACAAGTTCCAGAATAGCCAGAACTAACTGTCTCAAAAAACCAAAATAAATTTTAAAAATAGTAATGAGAGAGAGAGGCTAAAGCAGTGGCTCAATGGTACATTCACTATTCTTGTCCCAGTCCAGAGCTTGATTTCCAGCACCCATACTGGATCTAACTCCCTGCACCTTCATTCACAAGTAATTAAATACACACACAGGCGGGGTGAGACACAGATAGGATAGGGACATGCT